GACTGAAGGGTCCCAGGTTCGATTCCGGTCAAGGGCATGTACCTTGGTTGCGGGCACATCCCCAGTGGGAGGCGTGCAGGAGGCAGCTGATCGATGTTTCTCTCTCATCGATGTTTCTAACTCTTTATCTCTGTCCCTTCCTCTCTGTAAAATCAATAAAATATATTTTTTTTTAAAAAAAAGAAAGAAACTTCATGATGAGAGAGAATCATGGATCAGCTGCCTCCTGCACGCCCCCTACTGGGGACTGAGCCCACAACCTGGGCATGTGCCCTGATCGGGAATAGAACCCTGACCTCCTGGTTCTTAGGTCGATGCTCAACCCCTGAGCCATGCTGGGCAGGCAAAAATATTTACGTTTTTCATAACAGCCTTGAGCTTTGACTTACATCCTCTCTCGAGTCTCGCCGGCCCTAGAAGCAGGTGGAAGAGGATAAATGTGGGTCAGATGTGCGTTAGAGACAATGGGCCTAGTTCGGACGTCACGATGGTCCAGGGTAACCTCCAGGGGGCCCGTGGGGACGTCTTGATGGAAGTGGGAAGCGCATTGAGGTTTAGTTTTCCTCTGTCTGTTTTTTCCGACAGGGCAGCGTCCGTACCAGGTGATCACAGCCCGCGTCCACCCAGGAGAAAGCAACGCCAGTTGGGTGATGAAGGGGGCCTTGGAGTTCCTGGTCAGCAGTGACCCCGGGGCCAGGCTCCTGAGGGAAAACTTCATCTTCAAGATCATCCCCATGCTCAACCCCGATGGGGTCGTCAATGGCAAGTACGTGGGGCGCTGGCCCCACCGCCCTGGCGTTGATGTTGCCATAGTAACACATTTGTGGGTTCATCCGGTGAGGGGGCGTGATCGGAGGAGGCCTGGCGGGCATACCTCCTCCTGGGCTTTTTGTACTTGGAACAAAACACTGTCTATTCTTCACTGATGCGGTCTCATCGTTTTTTATTTTTATTTATTTATTTTTAAATATATATTCATTGATTTCAGAGAGGAAGGGAGAGAGAGAGATAGACACGTCAATAATGAGAGAGAATCATGAATCGGCTGCCTCCTGCGTGCCCCGCACTGGGGATCAAGCCCACAACCTGGGCATGTGGCCTGACCAGAATCGAACCGTGACCTCCTGGTTCCTAGGTCGACGCTCAACCACTGAGCCACACCGGCCGGGCCATCTCAGAGCTTTTTAAATAGAAAGGTATATTGCTCCATAGGCAGTTCATGCCAAAGGGGTCCTTAGACATCATTCCGTTCCACACTTTTCTATTAAAAGGGAGAAAACCGGTGTCCAGGGTAATCCAGTGACTTGCCCAGGTGCATGGTGGGTGAGTGGCAAAGTCCTGGCTCACACTGTAGTTTCCGCACGGGTCAGCCAATGCTTTCCTTGACGTCCTTAAGGTTTACTGCAGAGAAATCTTGATTGTCAGTTGCATTTGATGGCAGTTTGGGTGCAGCTCTAGGAAGGGTGTCGCCTTATCTAAACGGGGTGGCTGAACAATGGCTGTGGAGTCGTTGGGAGTGAAGTGACTGAGAAACCGCTGGAGGAGAGACGAGGGTAGCGCGTCTCCTGTCAGGGCGCCACCTGCCTTCAGAGCGGGCGGCGGGGACGATGACCCCAGTGTGTCTGAGGCCTGTTGGAAGAGGGTCCACATTTTATTTTTTTAAATATATTTTTATTGATGTCAGAGAGGAAGGGAGAGGGAGAGAGAGAGAGAGAAACATCCATGATGAGAGAGAATCACGGATCGGCTGCCTCCTGCACGCCCCCTACTGGGGATCGAGCTCCCAACCCCTGCATGTGCCCTGACCGGGAATCGAACCGTGACCTCCTGGTTCCTAGGTTGACGCTCAACCACTGAGCCACACCGGCCGGGCTGATGTGGCCTCAGTCACTGAACTTCCTCCTGGCTTGGCCACATGCCTCAGGCTCCCCCATGCACGGCAGGCCAGCTTCTTCTCAGTGACAGTGCCGTTCATCATCACTGCCTGCTGTTGATTATGATTAAAATGACCCTATTTACGTAGAGAGCGTCTTTCATCACACAGCGTCCAGGAACCGCGCAGGTCCCTCGGGTCACCCAAACCGTTTTGGCCGAGAGGGACTTGGAAATCCTAGCGTTCTGTTACGGAGAGGAGAACCCACAGGGAATGGCAACATCATCACCCAAAGGCAGTGGTTCTCCACCTTGGCTGCCCATTAGCATCACCTGGGAATCTTTCTAAAATCCTGATTCCTGGGCCTCGTCCTCCGGAAATTCTGTTTCTCTGTTACTCATGTGTGGCCCCACCCCAGAACAAAGAAACAGAATTTCCGGAGGATGCGGCCCCAAAATCAGGATTTTAAAAAGATTCCCAGGTGATGCTAATGGGCAGCCAAGGTGGAGAACCACTGCCTTTGGGTGATGATGTTGCCATTCCCTGTGGGTTCTCCTCTCCGTAACAGAACGCTAGGATTTCCAAGTCCCTCTCGGCCAAAACGGTTTGGGTGACCCGAGGGACCTGCGCGGTTCCTGGACGCTGTGTGATGAAAGACGCTCTCTACGTAAATAGGGTCATTTTAATCATAATCAACAGCAGGCAGTGATGATGAACGGCACTGTCACTGAGAAGAAGCTGGCCTGCCGTGCATGGGGGAGCCTGAGGCATGTGGCCAAGCCAGGAGGAAGTTCAGTGACTGAGGCCACATCAGCCCGGCCGCTTATTGTATTGGCTCTGGGAACTCCTCAGGTCTTGCTGCTAAATCGTTAGCATAGTGTTAAAGCATGTCCGGGGCTCGGCCAGGACTTCTGGGAGCTTGACCCCAAGGGCTTCCTTGCTCTCCGGCCATTGCTGCCACAACCGCACACACCGAGCCTCGGGTGCGCGCCTGTTCCATTCGCCTCCCCCCGACATCGCCACTCCGCATAAACACGACTATTTATTATTCCTAAATTTAGGGTGATTAATTCCATCAGCATAAACCTAATTTATGCCGTCATAAACAGCGACGAGGATAAATGCTGCCAAACGCTAATCCCAGCTCTTGCCAACTCACTGTGCCTGCAGTGGCTGGGCTCGTGCCCCCCCTCCCCCCCACAGACACATCCTTCCCAGAAGCATTAAATTAAAACCGATTCAATGTTGCAGGATCATTGATCAAGTGGAGGCTGAGGCTCTCAGGGGAAATGGCTGTCGTTTGGTTAAATGCTTTGTTCTCTCATTGGCCGTGCGACGTCTGGTATCTGTTCTCTCCATGCCTTCCCCTCCAGGAGGGAGAAATGGGCTGCAGGCGGGAGGAGAGGGAGACGGGTGGCTATTCTTTCTCAGTTTCCCCTTCGACATCTCTTTAAAAAATAGTTTTATTGATTTCAGAGAGGAAGGGAGAGGGAGAGAGAGAGACATCCATGATGAGAGAGGATCACGGATCAGCTGCCTCCTGCACGCCCCCCACTGGGGGATGAAGCCCGAAACATGGGCATGTGCCCTGACCGGGAATCGAACCGTGACCTCCTGGTTCATAGGTTGATGCTCAACCACTGAGCCACACCGGCTGGGCGTATTGTTCCATCTATTTATGCATTCATTGGTTGATTCTTTTTAAAAATATATATATATATATCTTTATTGATTTCAGAGAGGAAGGGAGATGGGGAGAGAGAGAGAAACATCCATGATGAGAAAGGATCACGGATCAGCTGCCTCCTGCACGCCCCCTGCTGGGGGATGGAGCCCACAACATGGGCATATGCCCTGACCGGGAATCAAACCGTGACCTCCTGGTCCATAGGATGACGCTCAACCATTGAGCCACACCGGCCAGGCTAGAGATCTCTCTTTCCAGTGTCCTCGCTCCTAATACTTCCTTTCAATAGACCCTTACATGTCCTTCTAGACGTGTTTTTTTGTGTTTTCTTTTTGGTTTTGTTGTTGTTATTGGCTCTCCATTTGTGACACAGAGAGGCAGCCTGCCCCCTGCTATTGGTGCCGTAACAAGGCCTGGCTGCCTTTCTCAGGACGCACTGTTCCCTGCTCTGCCCAACGCTTTTGTTTTCCACCCGAGGATCTCGAGCCAGGCGAGCAGAAGATCCGAGCTTCGGTCCGAATGAGCCTCTTTCCGGCCGTGCGGCTTTGGACAAGGGACTTACCCTCTCCACTTCTGGGTTTTGTTTTTGTCTTTTTTTTTTTTGCAACATATGAAGGGGCTGGTGAGCCCTAACCACTGCACCTCCGCCGACGAGTCTCCTGACCCAGTATTCTTGTACTTTGAAACTGCTCCGCAGTGTGAGCAAGTGTAAACGTAGGGGTTCCTCGCAATGCTTTCTGGGGGAATTCAGTGGTTCTTTGCGCAAGTCACGCAGGCCTGACTGTCTCCTTCCTGCTTCTGCTTCTCAGTTTTGCAAAGCAATCCAGGGTAAGGTATGTCAGCGGGATAGAAATTCTACAGAGGGAGGGACACACTCGAAGGTCAGGAAGGCTCCTTTATTATATAGGATTATATTTGCTACATCCTATATAATAAAAGCCTAATATGCTAAGTGTCCGGTCGTCTGATCGGCCATTCAACCAATCAATGCGTACTATGCTAATGATATGCTAAGGCCGCTCAACCGCTCGCTATGATGTGCACTGACCACCAGGGGGCAGAAGCTCCAACTGGTAGGTTAGCTTGCTGCTGGGGTCCGGCTGATGGGGACTGAACGAGACGGGCTGGACATGCCCTGGAGCCCTCCTATGGTCCCTCCCCGGCTGGCCAACCTCCCGCATCCCTCCCTGACCCCGATCATGCACCGGTGGGGTCCCTTGGCGGCCTGGCCTCCCTCTCACAATCTGGGCTGAGGACCCCCCACACCCACACCCCAAGTGCACAAATTTCGTGCACTGGGCCTCTAGTATTATCATATAACTAAAATACAGCTTACCTTACATACCACATGAGAGTACTTCTATCTGTACCGATCTTACTAAAGCTTTGGTTGCCCTTGGGACTGTGATTTAAAAATTATGGAGTGGGTATAGGATTGAAAAGATTATATAAAATATACAGCGGGAGAGAAAACTTGGAACTGCAGGAGTTCAGCTGATGCCTTTGTCCCTCCTCACTCACGTGTACTGTTTCAAAGGATTTCGTTGTCCCATTGGAATGAACAGAAGCCAGCCTATAACCAGCTTCAGGGTGTCTCCAAGGGCATTTTGGGGACTGGGGGGGAGGCGGGGGAGAGTCTATAATGAGCAGTTCCTGTGGTTGGTAGAGTCTGTCTTCCCAGACTGCCTCCCTGGTGTGCCCAGCCTGCATCACCCACAGAAGCTAGGGTTCTTTGGAAAGTGCGCCCCTCCAGGAACCAGAAGGAACTGCACCTCCAGGCTGGGCCCTGAGGAATTGCCTGGGACTCTTATGTTCTCTATTTCTGGACCCTCCTGCTCAGCAGGGCAGAGTTTAGAAACAGGGTGTGGATCCACCTTCCCCGTCCCGACTTCCAGGCCGCCTTTTCCTTACTTATTTATCTCTCAGAGTCATTGAGCTCTTTTGAGTTATTAGCCGTATTCCCTCCCTGCCCTGCTTCCTGCTTGCTCCTATACATCTTCACTCTGCAGGATACACTTTCTCTTCTATTTACAGCTTCTCCCTGCTCCCCACCCCTCCCCGTGGCCCAATAACGGCCAAGGAGATAAATAAGAAACATAACTCTTTTTGGCTATTATTATTTTTTTGTTTGTTTGTTCCTCGGCACAGCAACATATATAACAACAAGCAAACAAATCTTATTACTGAACTAATCACAATAAATAAA